AAAAAAAAAGGCATTGCAGATCAATGGAATAAAACAGAAACACTAAGCATTGTCATAACTACAAGAACACACGCGGGAGAGAAGACAGCCCCTTCAGCAACATGGTGCTGGGAACATCCAGAGTAAAGAAATTAGACCCAGTTCTGTCCCCTTGCTCAAAAGCTATACCAAGTGCAGCAGAGTTCATTTTCAAACCCTGAACGGTAAATTACTAGAGGAACACATGCAGGGCCCTACATGACAAGGTGAGGGAAGGACTTTCTCAACAGGACTCCACTTGCCAAGGAACTGGGCCCACAACTGACAACTTCATGAGGCTTCATGAAATCGAAAAGCAAACAAGCAAGTAAAGAAGCCGGCGACATGGCAGAGAGCATCTGCCAGAAGATCAGAACAACCCAGTGAAAGTGGCCCTGGATCCAAACAAAGAATGGTCAGGAAAAGAAACGGAACAGGCAAGAAATGCCTCACAACATACTTGTCATCCCTAGCAATTAGGGAAATGCAAAGTATAAAAAGTTTTGAGATTTCATCTCACCCCATCCAGAATGGCCAAAATTAACAAAGCAACTGACAGCAAACGCTGGTGAGCTGCAGAGAAAGAGGAACCCTCACTCACTGCTGGTAGAAATACAACCTGGTATGGCACCATGGAAATCAGTGTGGAGATTCCCCCAAAACCAAACATATTCTGCCATGTGGCCCAACTCTGCCTCTCCTTGGCACATGCTCAAAGGCTCAACACTGTACTCCGTCCATACTCAGTCAGCTTTCAGCTACACCTCCCAAGCAGCCCAGTGTGGGGTCCGCGTGTGTAGCACTGCAGGGGAGGGTATGTGCCAGAGCATGTGTGGGCGTCAAAAGACAGCTTTCGGGAGTTCTCTTACTGTGGGCTCCAGGTATCGATCGCAGGTCACCAGCTTAATAGTCAGCACCTGTGCCTACTGCGACAGCCCACTGCTCAACTCTGGCCATTTCTGTTTTCGGCTTTATCTCCCTCTCAAGAGCTGATCATTCTAATACATGTTTGTAGACTAAATGCTCTTCTCGTAACCTGGTGTAACAGCGGCCCAGCACCCCGCCAAGCAGCATGGGCGAGCAGAGGCCACCCGAGGCCGCCCACAGCCAGAAGCAGTAAGATGTGCAAGCCTGCAGTGCACAAATGGGGACAGAAGTGGGGCATGTGGATGGGCTGGTCCTGCAGACACAGGGCAATGGCAGGGTGTCAGAGAGGAGCCCCGTGAGGGCCTAGGACTGACGGTGCCGCAGGGGCCAGAGCCTGAAGCAGCAACGGCACACTGCAGTGCACACTTGCAAGGAAAGAAGGGTGGACAAAAGGTGAACTGTGGGACACGCTGACACACTGCAGCTTCCACAAGATTTTTGTTTGTCTGGTTGGTTTTATTTCTATTTTTGTTTTGTTTGGGGGAAGGTTGCAGGAGCACAGGGAGGACACGAAGGCCTGAGGCGATGAGAGGGACTGGAAGGCATGAAAGGAAAAGATAAACAATAGCATAGCAGAACCTATTTTTCATTACACACACACACAGAGAGAAACTTTCAGGTCTGGAGAGATGGCTCACCAGATAAGAGCACTTGATCTTACAAAAAACTTGAGTTCAACTCCCAGAACCCGGGTGGCTCGCAACCATACATAACACACACGTACAGGCATGGAGTGAGTGAAACACTCCTATATAAATCTACACTTAAAAAAAAAAAATCTTCCCTCATCTCATCATTCGATAGGATTAAAACAGAATTTCCTATCTGTACTCAAACTATGGCTTGGTAAGGTCAGGTGTGGTGGCACACACCTTTCAGCTCAGCACTTGGGAGACAGAGCAGGTGGACCTCCATAAACTGAGAAACAGCCAGGGCTATCTAAGACCCTGTCTCAAAAACAAAACCAAGCCCCCCCCCCCCCAAAAAAAAAAAAAAAAACCCAACACACAGAACCAAACAATGGCCTGGTATTCTCTGAGAAGTCCTAACTCGCAGGGGACAGAGCGCGGGCTCTGCACCAGGAGTGCTGGCTGCTTATCCAGGGCCTGAGCCAGCACCACACCAGCTCACACTGCTCCAACGCCAACTCCGAAGGACACACACCTGCTTCTGGCTTCCATGGCCACTTGTACTTACGTGGCACTCTCTCTTTCACCTCTCTCTCCTTTCTCTTTCACCTGTCTTTCAATCTCTCTCTGTGTGTCTGTCTCTCTCTCACACATACACTATAAAATAATAAAGGTAAATCTTGAACACTATAAAATAATAAAGGTAAATCCAGCCTTGCTTTGTTATAGTTGCACTGGTGCTCCTTTGCCCTCTCTCCCCAAAAGCTCACCTCTGGGTTCTCAGTTCTCAGGGGCTCTTCTGCTTACACCTAACAACAAACGAGCATGAAGATGCTATTAACAGCCTGAAGCACAGTTCTTGCCAGAGGTGACATTTTAACATAAACCCTACCCTCCCAGAAAAGAAAACGGCTGTAATTTCAGTGGCCACAGCTTCTATCTTATCCAGCAAGAAAAGAAGTGTAAAAATTCCTTAATCGTTGTATCATTTCAAATGGTGACTAAATACCAGACCACATGCAGGAGCCGTGCAAAGGCACACATTTTAAAGGACTGTCTGGGTTGTTTTGCCGGAATTGTGTGTTGCTATTTCTATATACACAAGGCTTCACAACATCCCACAATGTTGTTAGTCCTGACCAGTTTTTCCCTTTTCCTTATTTTCTGACAACAGCTGCTCTTTACACTAGCAGCAATCTTTCACACCGACCTTTCACATTCTGTCAACAGCTGACTTGCCTGAGCCTTACCTGAAGCTGTGAGCTAGAGGCACAGAGGAGAGAAAATAAGTTGGCAGATGATTCATCCCTTCAGTATCATTACCAAATACACACTCACGCCCACACCAAGCAAAGAAAACCCTTCACACAGAAGTCTACCTCACTTGTGTGGGACAGGCTCCACTGCTACAGCAGGGCCACAGCTAAAGACGCTGTGGCTTCAACAACAAAACAAGCTCTCTCACACGCAGCTACGACGGCCCCTGAAGGCTTCTGCTGCCTCTCTACACACTGACAGGACTACTTCTTATACCAAAGGGTGGGTCTACCAGGCATGGCGCTCAGGAGGCAGAGGCCGGCCGGCCTGGGAATCAGGGCAGCACCTTGTCTAAAACAAGGATGGAGTCCTCCTTGAGAGCTTCCAGATCAGACATCAAAGCGTCCACCAGGATGGCCTTTCAGCAAACTCAAAGTTCCCAACCTGTGCCAATCCCACTGTGCTTGTGTGCAGTGCTCGGCATGCAAGCCAGGGCCTGGCACACACTATGCCCTCTGACTCAGCCACACCCCGAGTCCTCCATGGTGTGTAGAGTGAAGCAGCTCTAGGCTCTGCTACGTTGACCTATCAACTCACAAAGTCCCTGCACCCCCTCATAAAGTATTGCCGGGGCTCCCACGTAGTCGCTTCTTTCCTTCACATATAGTGGATGCCCAGGAATGCAGTGGCTCGGTGCTGGCGCCTCAGTTCCCCCTGCAGACCTTGGACAGCGTGACCAAAAGGCAGCTTCATGGAACCCTGGGGCAACAAGGCCTGTGCCCCCAGGAGGCTGCCCAGACGGCTAAGTGGGCAAAGGCACTTGCCATCAGGCCTTCAGCCCCAGGACTCACAGCGAGCCAGTTCCCAGCGTTGTTCTCTGGCTTACGAATGCTGTAAATTCTGGTCTGACTCTTTCCTCTGAACTGAAACGGGCTCCAGTAGTACCTCATCCTGCCGACCCATCTTCCAGTCCTGGAATAGGAAGGGTGATAGACGCGGTGTAAAGCCCACTCTGTGCGGTGACAGACTGTAGTCCTGTAACGCCACTGTCTCCCACCACCCCAGCCCAGCAGCACTGTCCTCTGGCCTTCCAGCAGCACAGGTGGCAAGCCAGGTCACGGGGGAAAGTGGGGGGACGGCCGCCTCTCTGGCTTGCTGAGCACTAGAGGCAGCACGAACTGCTGGATTTCAGCAAGTGAACCGAGGGATCATGGGAGCGGAGCAGGCCCTCTTTCATACTGGGCTTCACTACCGTGTCCCCAACCCTCCTTGCTCCTCCACAGTCACTGATCCCAGCCCTCTAGGCTGAAAACGTGACTCACAGGCAAGGAGGTCTTTCTCCCTCACGTAGCCCTGCCGTTGACACTGCTGTTAAGATTCAGACTGTGCAAACTACACTCCGTACTCTCAAAGTCTTCCCCAGCCAAACTGGACATAAAGCAGCACTACAAAGCCACCAGCCACGACACTTCTCCCTCCCTCTCCTCCTCCCCTGCTTCAAAAGAAGTTTAAAACTTAAGTTTTTATGGAAAATTTTTAAAGTTCCATAGATTTCAGCAATTCACAAAGTCCAGGGGCTTTTGAATAGTTTTTTTTAAAAAATCAGTATCAGGAAAAAAAAAAAAAAAATCTCACTTCCTATTTGAAAAAAAAAGCATGCACGCATACGTGAGGCTGTGATCACAGCTCAGCCAGGCACAGGGTGACAGGAAGAAGGCACCACCATAAAAGGCCAGCTGCTCGGCTTCTCTTAAAGCAACATGCCCAGCCCAGCCGACTTCACTCCCAACGAACACTGCTGCCATGACGGAGGCCCTGGCCACGCTCCAACATGTGAGTACTGGACACTCTTCTCTTTAAGGGAGAAATACTCTGAAAACCCAAGTTCTAATTAGATAAAAGCGAAAAAGAAGTACTCTATTAAATAACTAGCTGTAATAGCCTGCTGTTTAGATTTTGGGGGTTACTGGAAGTTTAAATTAGCTAAGTGACATGGAAGCAATGAATGAAACATTATTTTATGTCACTTCTGTGTGGACTTACAACACAAAGTCAACAGCACATAACCCCATTTCAGGGTTCTTTACTATAAAGAGAAAGGAATGATGTTACTAAGGTAGAGTGCGCCTACATTTAGATATATTTTATATACAGTATAGCCAGTTAGCCTAATTTTAAAAATTCATTACATTTGACTACCTGGCTACATTTAAGGACAGAAAGTCTTTCTCACACCTAACTTTTCTCAGGACAGATTATCAGCAGCAGACTTCCTGGGATAAGGAATGTCTTATAAATTTATTCTCCTACCAGCAAAGATTATTGATCAGACTGGGCTTTGCTGCCTGAGAAGCAAAATCATTCTAAAGACCAACTATTACTAAGCGGGGGTGGGGTGGGGTGGGGACGACTACATTATTTGGTTTCTATTATTAGGTGACAGTAATGCTTTAAAAGCCTCTACATTTGTATTCTAAAACTTCTGAAGAAAATCATAAAGCAAATAATTATATGTAGCGATTTGTAAAATCTACATTTCCAGGATAAGCGCGGAGGTGAAAAGAAATGCCCAGCACAATGCAAGCCAGGAAGGAGCTTCCTTTAGAGAAGAGTCAGGGTGCGGGTGTACTGGTTCTCTGGTACCGGTGTCCCCTGGAGCACAGCAGGACATACCGTTAGGGAAGGGCCTGGGTTCAGCCCTCACACCCAGACTCCATTCTTTATGACTGCCTGGGCCTGTAGGTTGCTGAAGGTCTCTGGCTTTAGCAGCTTTGTTCGTGAGGCAGGAGAAATGTTTCTGCCAGGTTGTTCCAGTGCCACCTCTCCCGGTGTGTGCCAGAGCCCTGCACACCTGCTCACCCTGCCATGAGCCCACACAGGCAGAGTTCCTGCGCTGTCATGCCTGTGCAGTGTTCTCTTGAGCTTGTCTGAGGATGGCTCCTTTCAGGAACGCTAGGTGAGGGCTCTAAGCGTGCTTTCTAGTGTCTCAGAATGTCTGCCTCCAGGGCTAATGGTGCTCTGTGAACTGCTGGGGCACACGGCTCCACAGAGCAGCCCCGCTCACGGGTTTGTATGGGACGTGGGCGGCTGTGGTAATGCGTCCTTTTATAAGCTGTTAGCGGGCTTCCTAGAGTTAACTAGTGCCGTGGTGAGCCCTGGGACAGCCAAGCTACTCCAGGACTCCCAAGCCTGCACGCAGTCTTGACCTGTGGCCACCCGTAAATGAAGGTGCCCACAGGAGGCCCCTTTCTTTGCTGCAGGAAGAGGTGAGGCACTGGCGGTGGGCAGCGCCCTCCTGTCTGTCCCAGGCCGCTGAGCAATCCTGACCACGGTGATGAGACTAGCTCACGGGTGCGTGCTGTGAGGGTACAGGGACTGACAGGGCTCCAGAGAGGTGCTCAGAGGTAGACAGGGAGGACAGGCCGAGCACTGTCAGCCCCCAGCCCGACAGAGCAGCACAAAGCGACAGCAGAGGCACAGAGCTACGCTGTCTGAAACAGCTGTCAAATGCTTTGGCACTTTATACTGTCGTAAACGCACGGATAGAATCTTTGCTGAGCGAACAACCCCAGCAGTGGGAGGCAGAGGCAGGAAGACAGGAGCTCAAGGCCAGCCGGCACTGTGCAGTCAGCTTGAGGCTAGCCAGGAGCACAGGAGACCCCATCTTAAAAACAAAGTCAAACCCAAAATGCTCAATTCACCTTTACTCAACTTAAAACACGCTATAAATTAATGATTACTTCACTGTGGTCCACCTCCCTCCGTCCTCATTTCACAGACACAGTTGAGACATGTATCTGTCAAAAGTTCTGAAAAACCTTCCTGTTCTTACCCAGTATACCTTCATCTTGGAAGCAGGAACAAGGGCTAATGTGTCCTCTACTGAGCGTGATTTCTCTGGCAGCAAAGAGCCTGCCGTGGCTTCACTGAGTGCTGCAAGTCAGAGGTCCTGACAGGAGCCATTTCTAGTCTCAAGGTCACTGTGTTTGGCAGAGCTCTCCAACAAGGATTGGCGGGCTGAGATTCGGCTATACTTCGCGATCTTTGGGGGTGTCAGAACTGCTGCCCCACCTTCCCCACTCTCAGAACTTCACAGGAGACACCAAACCACAACCTCAACAGCGCTCTGCCTTCCTGGGCTGGGGAGGGATAGGAAGCGCCCCATTCGGGAAGTTGCTTTTCAAAGTTCTAATGAAAAGCAGCGTTAGGGAGGAGAGGGAAGAGTGTCGGGCATGGACCTGAAATGAAATACCCCGAGAGGAAGAGAGTGCAGGCAGGCTATGAAGGACACACCGATGGTGAGCTTTCGGGCCCTGGGCACCAGCTGAGGGGCTGTCATGGCACTGCAGAGTGAGAGGAAGGACTGCAGACAGCAGGGTCACGGGCCGGCACACAGACAGAGAAGGGCACGCACATGGGTGGGCACAGGGCAGTTAGGGGCTGGAGGAGCCCGCAGCCTCAGAGCTCCGACTCCCCAGGATCCTGACCTTTAGCACCCTGAGCACACGTCTGAGCTCACCCTCGGTTCGGCGCAGTCACACGAGGAGACTTGACTTCAAAGCAACGCTTGAAACTCCCTCCAGCTTGAAGGGCTCCGAGTCACGCTGTTTCTAGACGCCCTCTGAACTCAGAGGAAGGGCGGCAGGCACACACTTTCACTACCAATCCTGCCAGTGCCAACACAGGGCATCTGCCTCCCTGTGCTGACTGAGTGCTGACGGAGGCCTCCTTTTAATCCTTCAGCAACTTACACACGCCATCACTACCTTGATAACTTCCGTGGCCAGTCCTAAAGCTGGCAGAAGCCACAGAAGGGATAATCATGTAAGAAAAAAATGTCTCCCCTCCAGACACCTTGTCCTCCCGTCAGCCCCAGCAGGTAGCTGTGCAATAAAGCAGTCTTCACTGAGTGCCAGGGCACCACGGGCACACTGCGGGCTCCTGCACACCACTCTGCTGTGTGAAGAGCTCCTGTGCTGACAGTGCTCTTCTGCCGTAGGCACTCAGAGATGACTGGAGCTGAGTGTGGCAGGGGCTCAGCCCCAGTGTCACAGACCCTGTCTCTGTGGCCCCTGACTCTTTCACACTTCCAGAAGCCAGAGACAGCGAGCTGCCCTCACACAGGCTGACCACGGTCAACGCCAAGCTGAATAGATCAGGCCAGTCTGCTCAGCTTTCGGGAGGGGCACAGGGCACCAGAGAGCAGTCAGCAGGCAGCTATCCATCAGGCTCATTGCTGATCGCACGGGAGAGAACGCACGCAGTAATGGACTTCTCACCCAGCACACCGGGGCACGGCCGGGTCACCAACAGCACATGGGGACAGACAGCAGACAGACGGAGGCAGGCAGTCCTGTGGGAAGCTGCCCCTGTCACAGGCAAACACACAGGCAGCAGCTGCTTGGCCAACTAAAGGGCTGGGGACACACGCTGCAGGTGTCGACACTCGAGACTCAGACGTCTCTGCTCAAACCAAACAAAGGAGCTCTGTCCACACACTTGACAAAACGCACACGCAGCTAGCTCATCGGCAAGAGGAGGGGATGGCTCCTCCTTCCCGGGAGCAGGTTTGCTATGAGGGCCTGCGGTAACTGTGCTGGTCTCTGTTCCCTCAGAGTCACTCCCTCGTATTCCATCATCCCTTTCCTTTCCACTCATCTTACCTCCGCCCCCACTCTAAGCACTTTTCCATAGCCTTATCCTTCCTCGATAAAGTAGCCAACTATGCCAACAGAAAGCAGGGAAGACAACCTTCCTGACAGCACACCCTGGATTTCGTGTCTCCATGCTTTTAGTGGCATAACTTCCTCTTTGGCACACACAAGGAAAGTCACCCCTCTGTGCAGGGCATTGAGGTCACACTTGGCCAGCTCAAAACATTGCTACAGCCACACGTAACAAACTCTCCCTTTTTGTTTAAGGCATCAACAATTCTCAGAATAAACACCAGAGATAACGGTGACACTTCAAAGCTCTTACGAGCCCCAGGCCACTGTACACTGTGAACCAAAAGTCTGGCCGTGGCGGAAGGTTTGCCCTGTTTCTGTCATGGTGAATAGCTTGACAGGCACTCTGCTTACCGGAGCTAATGAGCCAGCTAACAGAAGTCTGTGCAGCCTTAAGAACAACAAAGGCTTTCGTGTTGGTTCTGAGAGTACACGCTCCCTGGTTATGCAAAAACGAAATAACATCTCAAGAAATGTTGGCAACTGTATGGGCAAAGAAATACATTTTACACACACATAAACACACATACCACTTTCAAGAATGTCAGGGAAAGACAGGAAGAAATTGTCCCACAGTTGGAATGACAGGAAGGCTAAAGGATCAAATGTTACATTACAGACATAGAACAAACTGACTCTGTCGCTTAGAAGGAACATGAGAACTACAAGATGGCTTCCAGGGGCCCATACTCAGGAGAGGACTTTGGAGGGCAGACCACACCCTTTTATGTTTTTAGTGTTTTTAGAATATATATGCGAGATCCTGGGAATACAGAAACTACTCCTTTTTAATAACAGAGGGTCTAGAACTGAAAGACAGAGATACAATGTCAAGAATGCCCCGTTCTTTGCCATTTCATGCAGCCCAGTTACTGCCTATACCCTGGGGAGCGATGTCAGCATCTTGATTCCTGTCCCTCATATAAAAAGTGTAGTCAAGTGTATAATTTCATCAAAGCATTGCACCGAAACCATATTCTTATAAATATTAGTTTCTAAAGAACACAGATTTAGGGCACATTCTGGGCTTTCCACTACGTAGTACAGAGACTATGACAGTACTTTCAGGTTTAATCCAGACACAGGCGTGTAAGTTAGAACAAATTCTACTCTGAGGGCATACAATAAACTGAGATAATCAGGAGGCCTAAGAGCTGGGGAACAGCAACCAGGACCACAAAAGGATTTTCCTCTTAATGTGGAGATATGTCTACGAAAATGATAGCACTGAGAACATGGGGAAGATAGAAGCAAAGGAAGACAATGCCAAGATAATAGTCACCTATGGAATCAATCCCCAGAAGGTGCTAAATATCCAAAGGAACTTACTTTCAAACCATTTCTGACTCCATTACTGAGGCCACTGTCTGACCTATCCAGTTTACACATCCACACTCTAAAGTGCTGCCTTGGGTGGGCTCCGGCCCAGCATGCTCAGTTAGGATCCTGGCTTCCCCCACCCTTGGGAGGAGTGTCCCATCTACCCTGGGGAAGCTGCCACATGCCATGCTGCTATCCTGTGAAACCACAGTCTCTCCCTTCTCTAAGGCTCAGGGGACAGCTGCCCCTGCAGAAGACTGGACGGAGCACCATGGAGAAGGAGCCAGCACGATCTTAGCTTTTCGGGCCCACACGAGGTTCTTAGCAGACACAGTTTAACGGTAGGCTTAGTGAGAGAGTGCACAAACGTGAGTAAGCAGCGCTGAAGAGTGTCACAGTGTCAGGTGGTGAGGTGCCGTAGAAGGAGCGAAGTTTCATTTCTTCCTCCAGTAACGAAACCATTACCTTACTCCCGTCAGTTCTCGCTCAGCGCTCCAGACTTAGACTGTATGGACACCAGTCCCCAAAACACTCACAGTTTTAGGTACTGGTGTACATACTAGCCAAGCAGCATCGTTCTGTGTGTGTGCCTGTGTGCACGCATGTGTTTGTGCTCACTTTCCCTCCCTAAAGTAGCACGTCTGTCCTCAGCTTTCCTTAACATAACTTCCTGTCAAGAAAGAGTCTTGGGTTACCACTTTCACATCCCACAGGTCTGCTGGGCCATGCGGTGTGCACTCGCTCACTGAAAGGCTTTGAGCCGCTCACACATTTGCTTCTTTGCACTGCAGTTAACACAGGTGGGAACCCACAGCTGAGCTACCCGAAAGCACACCGTCTTTAGCTGCCCAATGCTTGCTCACACCTGGACTCACACCTTAGCAGCTGACTAGCCGAGGCAGCCTCCCCTCTGCTAGGCTGTGCTGACCCCTGCTCTATAGTGCTGATAACACCTTCCCGCTGTCACTCTAAGACCAGATTTCAGTAGTCACACCATTCCTTCACTCCCCTGGTAAGACCCTCTGGTTGTTACTCCTGCACAAACTGTGACGTCTCTGCTTGTCTTTGTTCACTCAGTTTTGATTTCACTAATTTCACAGTTGTATTTTTATTCACTTCTGGTTTTGCTGGATCTTCCCTGGCTCCTTAAGCTGTATGGCTAATACCCATTTCCAACCTTTCTTTTCATTTTGTCTTACACATCTCAAAAATGTCCAATGTGGTATCTTCTTTAAGTCAAAAGTTTCTTATAAATATATTTTCCGTTTCCACATTCCTTCTTCATTGCTCTACCATTGGTTTCTAGTTTATCTGTGTGAGCTGCTCAATACTGACTTTCTGGACGATGTAGAGACTTCTCCGGTGAACTATTATATGGCTGAGTCTTCAACACACACTCCAGCAACGTTTAAATCATGTTGAGCAAATCTTCGGGGCCTTTCATTTTCTTATCTAGAATATTCAAATACACAACTGCCCATTATAATTGTAGACTTGTTAATTTCTCCTTGAAACTATATCAAATTATGACAGCACAAGCACATTTGAAAATCATTTTTATATTCTTTGTGGACTTTTTTTGGGGGGTTGGCATTTTTTTGAAACAGGGTTTCTCTGTATAGCTTTGGCTGGCCTTGAACTCTGAGATCCGCCTGCCTCTGCTCCCGAGTGCTGGGGTTACAGGCCAGCTTAACTTTGGTGGCTCTCTTCCTATTGTTCCCAAAGTCGCCCTGAACTTCCTTTTGTTCTCATGTTCTGACTGCAGCCCTCCCTGTCTTCATGACCTCGCTGGAGTGTATTCTCCCACAGCTTTATTCTGAACCTTTCTCAATCACTTTGAATTACATTTTCTTTAAGCAACATACAGCTGGATTTCTTTTTTTTTTTTTTTTTTTTTTTATCTCTAGTTTGGTGAGTTCAATCCATTTCAATCCATTAGGACTTACTCTCGGCCTTCCTAGTCTGCATCTTCTACTTTCCATCTTCGTTCTGTCTGCCCATCTCCTTTCTCATCTCTGAGAGAACAAGATGCTTTATTGCACTTTGCTCGGCCTTTCATTAGCTACAGGCACTGCCAGGGCTCATCTGTCAACACTGAACCAGAAGCAGAGATCGGTGCCAGTGAGCTCCCTCTCCTCAAGCTGTGAGAAGTGGGCAGAGCCAGGCCACCCTGCAGACTGGGCTAGGTCTGTAGTCACTGTGTCCAATCATCATTGATAAAGTTCTTTCCCTTCAAAATACAGCAGCAGCAAAAGATAATCTGAAAAGGCTCCCTTAACACTGGAGACTTTCATACGAAATTTATAAAAAGTCTACAGAAGTGATTTTTTTTCTTTGAAATATAATCACAGAATTTACCACTCAGCTTCCCCATTTTTATTGATGTCCAAATCTTATATAAGAATTTTACTGTCAGAATTTTTAGATTTCCAATTTAGGGCTTAAAATTTGTCTTAGCATTATTTATGACCAAGAAAAAAATTTAAATAATCAAACAATCCAAATGTGCAACCAGGGAGTAGCGCCCTCAATTATGCGTTAATACACTGGCACACTGAACAATACTGACTCAACACTTTGGAAAACTGTGGACTAGCCATCAAAAGGCCAGTAAAATGCAGACGGTAAAAAAATACCTCCATGGAGATTTATTTCCTACTACGGCAAGACCCCAACCCCACATTACTCGAGGTTGCCAGCAGCACAGGCTGCACGCCCAGTTTACAGTGTCTGCTCTGTGGCAGCTTGAGTCTGTCCGCCTCGAGCACCCAGCAACCACACGTGGACGAGGAGTATGCACCAGAGGCCCTCCCAACTTCTTCTTTTCGTTTTGAGAAAGGGGCTCACAGAGACACCCTCAAACTTGTGAGGGCCCGCCCAGCCTCAGTGTAGCTGGGGTTACCACACCCAACTTTTATTTCTATTTTCTTCCTTTTCATTTCAGTTATGAACACCATTTCTTTTTTCTCAGGAAAGCTTACCTTTCCTTTCCTAGCCTGACCCGATTACCTCTCCTATGCTGTAGGCTAACACAGATCAGACACGGTGGAAGACCAGCCTCGCCACATGTATGAGTGATTTCATTTCCTGGCAGTGATACTCGTTTTGGAAGAAAAAAAAAATTTCAACCTAAATTTAATTTAAAAGCCAACCTTAATGCCTGTCTCAAATGTGGGGAACTTTACATGCTTTTATTCTTAACCACACAGTGATTCAGAAAAGGGGGATTTCTGTCAAAAGTTAGTGCAGTGCTCCGCTGAAATGCACTTGACCTATTTAGATGGCCCTAGTTCCTTACAGAGTTCTGCCAAAGCCACCAACAGTAAAAGCAAACGGGTAGACTTTATTCTTGGTTTATTCCAGTTGAAATTTACACAATGAAAATTTTAAAGAAGATGTGGAAATGACTGATTGCTGAGTTAAATGTCTTAGCTAAACCGTCCCTCCTTGCTTTCTTCCTAGTGACTCTGACACTGTGGGACACAGAAATGGCTGACAATCTCAGCACCCCGCTGGCAGCTCCTCCTGGCAACAGCTGTGACCTGTACGCACACCATGGCACGGCACGGATCCTGATGCCCCTGCATTATAGCCTGGTCTTCGTTATTGGTCTGCTGGGGAACCTGCTCGCCCTGGTCGTCATCGTCCAAAATCGGAAAAAGATCAACTCCACCACTCTCTACTCAATGAACCTGGTGATCTCTGACATCCTCTTCACCACGGCCCTCCCCACCCGGATAGCCTACTATGCGCTGGGTTTTGACTGGAGGCTGGGCGATGCCCTGTGCCGGGTCACGGCTCTGCTGTTCTACATCAACACGTATGCGGGCGTGAACTTCATGACCTGCCTGAGCGTAGATCGCTTCTTCGCCGTGGTGCACCCTCTGCGCTACAACAGGATCAAAAGGATCGAGTATGCGAAGGGCGTCTGCATATTCGTCTGGATTCTGGTGTTTGCTCAGACTCTGCCGCTGCTCCTCAGCCCTATGTCCAAGCAGGAGGCCGAGAGGACCACGTGCATGGAGTACCCCAACTTCGAAGGGACGCCTTCTCTCCCGTGGATCCTGCTCGGAGCCTGCCTGCTGGGGTTCGCACTGCCTCTCATGGTCATTCTCTCCTGCTACTCCCAGATCTGCTGCAAGCTCTTCAAGACTGCCAAGGAGAACCCCCTAGCGGATAAGTCCGGTGTGAACAGGAAAGCTCTGCACACCATCGTCCTCATCATCGCTGTGTTCGTTCTCTGCTTCACGCCGTACCACATGGCGATTGTTCAGCACATGGTGAGGAAGCTGTGCGCGCCGGATGCCCTGGGCTGCAGTGCCCAGCACTCCTTCCAGGTCTCCCTGCATGTCACCGTGTGCCTGATGAACTTCAACTGCTGCATGGACCCGTTTATCTACTTCTTTGCATGTAAAGGGTACAAGAGACGGGTCATGAAGATGCTTAAACGTCAAGTGAGCGTGTCCATCTCTAGTGCAGTGAGGTCAGCCCCTGAAGAAAACTCACGAGAAATGACAGAGTCACAGGCGATGATCCACTCCAAGGCCTCCAATGGCAGGTAATGGGCATGGATGTCCAGCAACTCGAGCCTGCAATGCCCTGCAGACCAGCTGACCAGCTCCCAGCCGGGTGCCTTTCATTGCCCGCTCCAGGCACAACTCCCACTGCCACCTGCCAGCCAACACACCAAGATCCAGACCAGCTCAAGGGAACAATAAAAGCAAGTTCTACTTCATAAATGAAATATATATAGCAAGGCTACCTTAGTGTGTTGTGCTGTAAAAAGAAAGTTCTGCAACCCTAAGAATGCAATCATTACCAATAGTTGGACAAAAGAAATCAGACTGATTTCATTGTATATTATCAGTGTAAAAATGTTAATACTGTAATATAAACATTTTTAATTTACACCTCTTTTAATTTTAAATTTCACCTTCTTAGTAATGTTTCTGTTTACTCTGTTCTGAGACAACTGTTTTGGGAATATTCTGTGGGGTAAAAGCAGGGTGTCCTGAGAGTGTCAACATGCTCCGTCAAGTAGCAGCACAAGTTACAAGTTCGGTCAACAAAGGTGGAGTTGGAAAGGAATCGTATGAATGCTGGTGAGGACACAGGCCACAAAAGCTCTTCCCTAGACTCCAGGGCAGCAGTTCTGGACCACTGCTCCGGAACATGGCAAGGCTTTCCATAGCATACCCAGTGGGGAACATGTCTACGTGCTACGTCCTTTCCCGGGATAGAGCCGTGCACGCATGCTTTGTTCGCCTTCGGTCTCCAGGGGATGTTTTCTGGTTTTTCTGGTTGGTAGCACCTGGTATTTATATAGCTTAGATTAGGTTATGAGATGTAGGGGCAGTGATGACTTCAATTATAATTGCCTATACAACTCAGGAAGTAAAATGCACAAGTTTTAAGTGAGTAGTTTTCAGGATTATTTCCTTTTCAAAACCCCTTCTTAAAGTGTATCTTTATGTGTACAGATGTTTTGCCTTTGTGTAAGTCCGTGCACCATGCATGAGTGGTGCCCACAGAGGCCGGAAGGTGTCAGACCCTGGGATTTGGGTTGTGAGCCACTATGGAGGCACTGGAAATTGAACATGGAACCTCTGAAGAGCAGCCGTGTTCTCTCAGAGACTCTCTGTCCCTTTTTGAGGCAGAGTCTAGCTATGTCAGTCTAGCTGACCTGGAATTGTCTGTGTAGACGGGCTAGCATGCACACGGCTTTCGTAAGCCACTGAGCACTCACTGCCTGCTCAAAATGTGGAGCCCAGCCCTGAAATTTCCCCAGTCAGTATCTCAGCTGGCAATGATAGCAATTCAGACAACAGGGAAGGAATGAAACCCTATGTTGTGAGTCATATCTCAATTCTCACTGACGTGTTTTCGCTGGAAATATTTCACCTTAGCATAATTAGCCTGCTTTGTCTTTTGTCTTTTGAGACAGCGTCCCATTACATAGGCCAGGCTGGCCTGAACTCCTGTGTACCCCGGACAAATCTTTACCTACAGAGCTTCCTCCGGCACGCGCTTGTAAGCCCAACGCCTGGAGGCTGAGGCCGGAAGCTCGCTTGGGCGAGGGTGCACACTTTCGATAGCGAGCCCCTCCCCCATCCTACGCCAGCCTCCTGGGCGCTGGGATTGCCCGTGTGTGTGACACATCCCACCTGGGAAATTAGCCTGGGTTCTCGATACCATAGCTTTGCTGGTACAGTTACAGCCTGAGCTCTGTTAATTTCATGGATTTAAAGGACTAATTACCTGTGGTTGGTCTGAGGAGGCAGTGGAAGTCTGGATCTTCATGCCGTCTCCACACCCCAAGTATGAACCTCCCACCTGAGGGCAGAAGAGGAAAACTCCCCACTCTGTCAGGTGGTGCTCTGTCACCTAGGCCCGGTCTACAAAGAAAGCACTAGAACAAAAACAGGTTCCTTACCTTTCCAGCCCTGAAGGCAAACCAGATCAATGGCACAGCTCATCACCATGAAGCAGTGCGCTGCCACTCACCCAGTGACAGGGCGCTAATCGGGCCAATTCTGCCACCCTTGTAACCAGCACGTGTTGATGTAACAGTTTACAAGAATGCAACACACTTGGCTGGCTGTGTGTTAACTTTCACCTTCTCCCTCATGGTCCCAGGGATAGGCGACTCTACCGTGTCCCCTGCAGGGCACCGGCAGAGATGACCAGTGAGCCTCTCTCCAGCTGCCTCACTTAAACCACCACCAGTGTGCTCACACATGGCCTGGGACACAGCCCCCTTGCCTGGCACTCCTGGCAGCTTGACTTCCCTTCCCAGCAGATTCCCTTAGTGCACAGGGGCAGTTTGGGTTAATTTGTGTATTCTGTGCCAACAAAGGAAGTGAGCTTGTATTTCACTCCACCTCACAGCACAACTGAGTATTTGCTACATTAGTGTAATAAACTTTAATACTTACATGATAGCAGGCCATAAAAACTCATCTGGGAAAATAGATAGCTATCTAGCTAATCTCATTCCTCTTTTGTAATCTCCTTTTTCTTTATTTCTTTTTTTTGGGGGGGGGGTGGGAGGGAGTGGGTAAGAGACAGGGTTTATCTGTGTAGCCCTGGCTGTCCTGGACTCACTTTGTAGATCAGGCTGGTTTCAAACTCAGAGAGATCCACCTGCTTCTGCCTCCCAGAGTGCTGGGATTAAGGTGTGTGCTGCTGTGCATTTCATTTCTAAAACAATCATTTAGCTAATTTAAAAATCCTCAAAGCTATTAAGTTTAAGATCTGGTAACTGTGGGGCTGGAGAGATGACTTAGTGGTTAAGAGCACTGGCTTTTCTTCCAGAGGACCCAGGTTCAAGTCCCAGCACACACATGGCGGCTTACAACTGTGTGTAACTCGTATTTATATATATGTATATATAATGTATGTCTATAAATAAATATATATTTTAAAGATATATTAAATGCATTGACTCAAGTGAGAGTTCAGAACAGTAAATAGCAGACAAACAAGCACTGGCTGTATTTTGAAGAGCTCAAAACTCTCTAAGTAAATTACTTTTACTTACACATTCCTGGCTTCCACAAGTTTGAATGTGATGAGCAGCCAGAGGCAGGACTGGGAGATGGCCTTAACCCCAGGGCCTGGCCATAAAGCCGCTGATCATGGAGACGTGCCTGACAGCCCGAGAGGCTCCCTTGCCAAGTTCGGCCAGCCAAGTACAAAGCCCTTCAGTAGGGCAAAGCCCTCACGCCACTGGGCTGCGAGGCTGGCAGGGGTGAGCTGCGGAGGACTAAGGCTTCTGTGCACACACAGCGAGGGCACAGAGAAAGGCTGCAAACAGCCCATGGGCCAGGGCATGCTGCACATGATGCTGGCACCAGCACGCACACCAAATCGCCTTAGTTCTTAATTTCTCAATGAGATGAAAACTCGCCCATGAGGGATGATATCCAAACACACGGACCAGAGGTGCCCAAGCTCACTAACCAGCAAATCAACGCCAGAACTAAACTGGAGGCACAAGTACGGTCTGCCTGGAGATAATCTGTCTCAAGAGGCCAAAGAGATGGTCCCAACAGCATGCAACTGTAGGAGGGACACACCCATCTTAAATTAGCTTAAAACTATCTATTTTGGTACTTCTCAGCCTGCTGTAATTTGTTATTTTCCGCAAAGCTAAAAAAGAAAAAGAAAAAAAAAAGCTGCTCACTGAGCACTCTGGTGAAGAGTGAGAAATGAGTAGCATACTGTGACACACAAGGGATGAACACGGGATGGCAGGAGTGTTGGCTGGGACTGACACACACTTAGCAACCCCCGAGCGCCCCACAGCTAAGACAGCACTGTTCGAACTCGGCACACAACGCCTTCCCGAGCACTCCCTGCACCCAGCAGCAGCTAAGTGTGTCAGACTGCCTGTCCTGCCAGTGGCCAGACGCCAGGGCTCTGCCGCTGCACATGCTCCCGAGCCACGGCCGCGCCTGTCCCCATCAGAGGCCCCTGGCTTCACTTCCTGTGGCTTTCTGTGCTGAGGACCCTCCTCCATAGTTTCTCTGCACACTCTTCTCAATGTCTTCCTCACTGGCACCGACTCCCCTCCTACCCATGACAGTTAGTGAGTTCCTCCTCCTAGGCGCTTCTGTCCATCTTTCACTGTACTCCCTTACCCAGAGCTGGCTGTCGCATGCCAACTACTGCCTCTCCCAGCTGCGCCCCTCGGCTACGCTCAGAAGCTGTGGCTTTCCTCAGGATGCCATCAGCATGCCCGCTGTCCGCACTGGCTGCCATGTGCACAGCACACTGCTCTGAGCCCTCGCCCCTCCGAGCTCCACACTGTTCTGTGAGAATGGAGTGGGGTGGGGCTGGGATGGAAGCTGGGACCTCCAGCATGCTAGGTAACACTTCCTCCACCGAGTCTCACGCTCAGCCTCAGGCTCAGCTCACTACTCCTGGCCTCCTCACTGCTGGCCTAGGAGCTGGGGGAAGTGACCTGGCCCTCCTGGGTCCACGTGTGAGAGAAGAGCGAGGCTTGTTCTTGTCACAGAGAAGACTCTGAATGAGGACAGAGCCCCCACTTAGGCCCTGTCTCCCCGTGCTGCAGGTCAGTGCAGCACATGCTAGCCTGCTTGGCTGACCCCGTGTTTAAGCTGCTCGTACAGGACAACATCCTAGAGAATGAGTGGAGGAAGGCGTGGGCACTGCTGAGTTCTTGTGCACGCGCGCCCCCCTTCACCTCGGCTCGGCCGGGCTGTTAGCTCCCCACTCCCCACAGTGGGCAACTTCAAAGCCCAGCTTCCTCTCCCTCACTCTCAAGTCCTCCCACCCTGGTTTCCGCCACTGCTCGAGATGGACCTTCTGAGCCCCACGGGTGGCTTCTGTCTCAGGGGCAGGAACGTGCCCTTGGTTCTCCCTGCTGCATTGCTCTGCTTCCCCTGCTCACAGTTTAACTCTTACAGCCAAACCACAACGCGTCCTGGAGTTCTCGTCTGACTGCTCCGAATCACCCCCTCTTTCTTCAACATACCTTAACCCTTACCATCTGTTCCACACAGCTAGAACTTGATGCACAATCCTTTAGGACAAAGAAAATCTGCTAGCCTATAGCCCCAGAGCCTCGGGTCCAGCTGCCTCCTAGCCAGGCCTATCACCTCTGAGCAGCAATGAGCCTTTACAGACCGGCTTCCCCGTCAGTGAGTAAGATGATGGCCACCATGGGAGTCTATCCAGCCCTCATCTCCTGGCACGTGAACAAACATTAGTTCACACTTGCAGCCTTCCCGGGACTAAGACACTGGCCCTCACTGCTCTCTGTCCTGGGAGGTTCTCAGTGCTAAAAGCC